GTAGCCCAGGCTGGCCTCAAATTCACAGCAATCTTCCTGCCTCGGCCTCCCAAGTGCTGCGATTATAGGTGTGTGTCACCACACCTGGCTCTTCATTTAATAATTCTGCATTTTTACTCTCTGTGGTAACTTGGGTAGAATAATATGAAAATCATCTTTCAGAGATGTCCCCATTGTTTGCAATTCCAGGCACTGTTTTCACTAGACTATTAGTGGATTTCTTTTTTTTTTTTTTAATGTATTTAGTACAGGGTCTATAGGGTCTCACTACACAGCTTGGACTCGTAGTGATCCTCCTGTTTTCAGCCTCCCAAGGGCTGGGATTCCAGGCACGCACCACCACACCCAGTCTCAATCACCAGCTCAGCGTGCCTCAGGGGTGGGGTCGGCACAGCACGCCAGGGATCGAACTCTTGTCCCTGCATGTGCCTAAGCAGGTGCTTTAATCGGCTGAGCTATTTGGCCAGACCCTATTAGTGGGTCTTGAGGGAGCGAGGCAGATTTACCTTATAGTTAAGGAAACTCTAGTTTGAACCCATCATGTACACTGCCTCTCCCAAGATCCTCTAGCTAATACGGTTTGTACTTTGTAATCTTATTCTTAAAGAAAGACCCCCCAAATGGTATACTTTGGGATCCCCAAAACATGGATCTGGCCTTGCAGGTAAGTAGCATGAGATTAGATCAAAAAGACTAAAAAATGTGTCTATTTTATATCATAATTCTATTCAATTCAAGATCAGAGTTATAGAGGTTAAATCCTATTTCAATAAATACAACACAAATATTTCATAAATGTTAATAAAGAGTGTTTCAAAGCCAGGCAGAGTGCATGTCTGAAATTCCAGCAATCTGGGAGGCTGAAGCAGGAGGATCACAAGTTCAAGCTCATGCTGGGCAATTTAGTGAGATCTTGTCTCAAAATTAAAATGGTTTGTTTGTTTGTTTGAGACAGGGTCTTGTTATATAGTCCAGGCTAGCCCTGAATGCCCTCTGCAGCCTGGGCTGGCCTCAAACTCACAGCGATCCTCCTGCCTCAGCCTCCCTGGTGCTGGGATTACAGGCAAGTGCCACCATGCCTAGCTCCTTCAAAAAAAAAAAAAAAAAAAATTAAGAGACTGGGGATATAGAATAGTGCAAAAGTCCTGGGTTCAGTGCCCAATAACTTAAAAAGAAAAACCCAGCCAATAGTTCATCTACTAAACACTAATAATAACTTTAACAAATTAAATGAAACTGATTACCTACAGTCATGGTTAGAGATCTAGCAATGTATATGATGCTACAGAGCTGCAGGAAGCTAAGGGGAGCCAGTTTACAGACCCTGTGACTCTAACGACAAATTGTTCAACAAGCCCTAATGGAGGCATCCTAGTAAGTCAGGCATCCCGCATGTGGCTTAGCATGTGACTTATTCACGACTGAAATAGTTAAGAAGCCCAGAGGATGCTGAGGGCTTTTGTATTCCACAATAGAACTGAATTCTCATTGTGGTCATGCGGCTGTGCATTAAAGCTCCTCTTTGTCAGAATATAGACACTAACTTTCTGCTTGTCACTTTTCTTCTTTTCTGTTTCATCTGTCATCAAATTTCTCCCACACCAAGAAATACAAACCAAACTGAGAGCCCAACTGGTGGGTAATAGAAGTTCATATAACACAAATTTCCCTGCCCAGAACCTGGTTGGATGTAATCCCAAAGTCTTCCATGGAATTTTCCTATTAAAACCCAGGCAAAAAGAATCCATTAAGGTATTCCTCAATGAAGAGGCAGAAAAGGGATCTCCCAGACCTCGCAAGCCATTTATTTATTTTTGAAATACAGAGCAACTGGGGGGGTGGGACCACAACTTTCTCGGGGAATGTTTAAGCAGTAAACATTCCTCCAACCCTACAGCATACATTATGCAAATTGTTTTCCCACTGCACCAATCTCCTTCTGCAGGAGCCCTTTGTGTCCCCACCCTGTAGCTGGCTGAGCTGGAAGCACGCCCCCCATCGCCTGCCACTGCCAGAACCACACACATAATGTGGGCTTTGTTTACGCGTCCATAAATATTTCACAACTCCAAAGCAGTGCAGTTCCCAGCACAAACAGAAAGGAATATTCCTAAGCAATTTCAGGGTCATCAGCGCACTACAAGGGCACCCCAAACAGAGCCGGTCTCACAAAGACACGGGATTGGGAGGGGGTCATTCAGGATTGGACCGATGTCAAGCGGGTCAACTAGTCTCTGGGGCAATTTGCTGAGCTGACATTGCAGGTACAAGAAAAGCAGAGGGGCTTTGTTGCTCAAGAAAAAAACCCTCTACCTGATCATGATGCACCAGCAACCACTCGCAAATACATTAAGTGGGAGCTAAATCATTAGCTAGACTCAAATGGAAACCTGGCGGCACTATTGGCGTCCACCTTTCCTGGGAGAAAATTCCTCACTATTCAGTGCTGTTCTTCCGCTGAGAGCTGCAGTTGCCAGGTCTGCAACAACAGAAAGGAGAGAAATCTACCTGGGAAGCAAAGTCAGCCTCTGGGGCTGGTAGGGCTGGCAATGGTTCCTAAGCGAGCAGAACTCCCAACAGCTGTTAAAGTCCACTTAAAGCACACATGTAAGAATCTTTGCTCTTTGTGCACTACCCTAAGTCACCATTCAACTCTGGTCCCATACAAAACTAAAAGCAGGTTTTTTTTTTTTTTCAGTTGATAATAATGACAAAAATAATAATCAGCGGGTACACTAAAGACAATCTGCAAGGAGAGGAGCTACCTGGAGTCCCGATATCATTTTCTTTGCTTCCTCCATTTCTTTTTCTAAATGTTCTTGTTGTTCCAACAGCTGTTCTTCCCATGAGGTCTCCAGATAGGTTCCAGGGCTCCCTGGCCGCCAGTCTCGGGGTAATGGAGAGTCTGTGTCCTCTATAAAATGAGACGTGGGGGTGGGGGTACAGTTCATGTTGAAGCAAGCCGATTTCTGGCAGAAAGCATTCACCGAGGAGTTCAGAGGTTCAGGTCACCTGCTTTGTGAACCTGCTTTCACAGACAAACTGGACTCTCCACCAGGTGGGGTTGTGGGGCACAAGGCGCTGGAAGTTAACTCTGGCTCTAGGCTCAGGGACCCATCAGGACTCAGGGAACTCTTATCTTCCTAGACCCTTGAGAAGCAGCAGCCCCACTGCCAGTCTTGGTATGGGACACACATTTTACTCTCAGTTCTCCGGCCTGCCATCTCCAGCCCGCCATTCCCAGAGCCTGATTTTGCCACATACAACAGAAAGAAAGGTCAGTGCACCAAAAACAAATTCCTGTTGGCTCCCCTGGAGGTTTAGGTGGGAGACCATAATTCAATATTCCTTTGAGTCATAATGGAATCCCTTTCACACAGAAAATTGTGTGAATCACATAGGAAACAAAAACAGTAGAAGTATTCTTACAAAACTGTTTAATATTGCCTCCTGGTTTGACTCCCCTCCCTTTAAGACTTCTTGGCTCTGTTTTCCTGGCCTACTTTTATCCTCACTATCCAGAAAGATATAAACTCTTTTAAATGTCTTCATAAGAAGAGTAGGATAATTCCTCTCAGTTGTGCTGAAGACTAAACGGAGTAATTTAAAGGCTGTGATGTAGCTCAGTGGTAGAATATTTGCTCAGCCTGCACAAGGCCCTGGCTTTAATCCTCAGAACCACAAAACAAACAAACAAAAAGTTATATGCAGAGCCCTGAGGTACTCTGGCTCAGAGCAGGCACTCAGTAAATATTCCTCTCCTCCCTCCCTCAGGCTCGAGGAGTTTGTGACTCAACAGCATGGCTGATGTTGGTTTTAATGCCAAGTCTGAAGAGGAACAGAGTATAGAAGAATTAGTTTTTCTTTTGCTGGCTTCAGTTTCATTACAACACTTAGGGGGTGAATGAAATTCAATCTAACCTTTGTGCATGGATTCTCCCATGCTTCTGTTTATGTAGGAATAAAAATGAGGCTTTTTGCCTTGTACAACAGCAAGAAGTGGAGATTAAGAAGAAGTCTACACAAATGGAACTCTTTTCTGTAGCCAGCAGGCCAAGCCTAACAGGGATCTGCCTTCTCCTATATGTTCTCGCAGTTGTCTCAGTCATACTATGCATTCCCAGCCCCCATTTAAGTTAGCCAAGCACCCAAATTATTGGTCTAAGACAAAAATAATACAAAGTGATTTTCTAATTCACAGGCAGCTGGCTAGGGAGAGGACTGCCTAAGCTGCTATATGATTTTTGACAGCTAGGACACCAGAAAGGACGCTCTCTAAGAGGATGACCATATTAATTGGCTCCAAGGCATTAGAGCACAAGCCACGCAGAGGAACAAGGCCAGGGAGCTTGGAGACAGGCAATCAGGACCTCTAAATTCTTCTGCTGAGAGTCACTGCCTGAGTCGAGGAAGGCAGAGAGAGAGAGCTTATACCTGTTCTGTTCTCTATTCCTTCCGAGGGAATAATCGCAAGATCAGCCTTCTCCTCTGCCTGGGTTATAATGGACTCACTCTTGGCACTGTGGATGGGACTGGGTGAAGTCAGGCTGTGAGCAAAGAAAAGGGGAGAGAAGCAAACATTCTTTTAGAAGTAAACTTTCATAATTTATCTTAAAGACATGCTCGTATTCATCTTACTCCAAATGCCACAATACCTAACCCATCATAAGAACACATTATCTGTTGAATGATGAATTTGAATGAATTAAACCAATGCATGAATGGATAACATACTCCTAGGAAGACTTCTCCACAACAAAGCTGTCTTTAAGCATAATTGAGAAGAGAAATATCAGAAGAATTGGTAGCCTCTACCACGACCATCTCCAGACCCATGTTCAAATGCTGGTGCTTGTATGTGTCTTAGAAGCTTTTGGAGCTGGAAGGAAATCTTATCTCCAGTACCCTGATCTCTAAATACATGCAGGACCAGCAGAGTGGCCACAGATCACTCTAGGCTGATCCAAAGGAGGGCACAGGGTAAGAGGTAGTTCAGGGGCAGAAGCTGCTAGAATTGACAGCACCAAGCAGGGAAGAGGAGCAGTAATCTATCAACAATTGAGCCAGGACATGAGAAGAGTAATAGGTCAAAAAGAAGAAAAACCTGCTAGGGATAGTAAAAGCGAACTGGATTTACTCTTTTCAGAGACTTATCTGTATTTTCCAGTTGCCATCAGAAACCTCACAACAACTCATCAGTTCTGACGTAACTACTAGCCTTGGGAGGAACTGTTCAGATTTTCAGGGAAGTGTGAGTTCGCATCTCTGGAACAACAGCAAAACAAGGTGGGAACATGGAACTGATGCTTTTCTGACAAGGACAAAGGAGTCTGAAGAGCCATTTCTCTTTCCACCGCATCTTGAGAACATCAGCAATGAAAGAATCTCAGGGGCTGTGGGGTCCGCAGACCTAGCCCCCCTCTTAGGCATTCTTGCCAAATCCATCACCCAGACAACAGTGAACGTGTCTAGGATTCACTGACCCACATAATGTGCCCCTGAAGTCTCCCAGGCTAATCCTCGCAACACCGATCAGGAGTTAACATTTCATCTTCCTAGAAACCAGCAAAAAACAAGAGCTAAACACAGCAGAAAGGGCCAGAGATTTCAAAACCTGGGAAGCAGCCTGAGAACCAGTGTCTCATCCTCCTTAATGGATGTCAAGGAGCTTTGGTGGGAATAAGCACAACCAATACTCTGTCCTCTTCCTTCTTCAAGATAGAGGGGAGAAAGTAAGGTATTGTCCTATTTCAAGCTAAAGGAAGTTGCTAAACCATATTTATAGATCCATAACTCAAACAGGTCAAGAGACAAGAGGTGATAAGAAGTGGCATTCAGAAATGATGAGTGGTTTCTAGTACGCCTTTATCCATCTTTAACCACTTATGCAATATGACTCCCAGGCCAACATGAATTAGCTGCTGGAAAAGCTACTGTCTAAGGATACTTTGTCATTTATAAGGAGAACAGATTTATGATCTCTCAGGCCTCAGCATTTACATCTTGCAGAAATGGGAATCTAGGTGCAGAAAGAAGCCTGTGACCTCTGGCTCCTCTTGGAAGAATAAGAGACACCATCACTTTCTCAGCTGACAAAGTGCTATGGATGTCATGTTCCACTGCATGCATTTGGCTGGACCCCGGAAGGTATGTGCCAGACAAAGGTGGGGAGTATATGTGGAAAACTACTTTCCTAAAAGCACAGACGCATGCTCAGCTCCACCCCTTTCCTCCCCAGGGAGCTGCCTCCCATATATGGGCAGAAGGAGGCGGATGTCTGGATATCCAGCCCCACTGGGGGAGTGGCAGAGCAGCCACAGGAAAACAACATTTCCCTTTCTTGAATTGAGGCTGCCAGGGTGAGGCCACAGAGGTAAGCCCAGGAAACTAGATGGCCAAATCAAAAGATTAAGGACCCAAGGAAGAAAAGTCCTAAGGCACCGTCCTGCCTCCCTAAGTATCTCCTAGAAAGGAAAATGCGGTCAGTCTTCTGCCTCAGGGCAGAGAAAAGTGTTTTAATGCTAATTGATTCCAAGATTTGTGCCCCTCCCCGACTGATGTAAAAGCCCTGTTTTATACACAAATAATCCCACACAAACCATCCTAATCCTCTCTTAGGGCCAAGAACGACTAATTACAAATCGAGTCGGACTGGTGATGCATTTCTTAATTGCCACAGGTCTAGTACCTCTCCCATCTTTATTTATCAGACAAGCTATCTATCTGCCAGCGAAGATACTTTCAAATTTTAGAGTCCAAATATTATTTTTAAATGGGTAGTAGGCGAGGAGGGAGAGTCCTGTCCCCCTCCTACAGTGCCCTCCCCTAGCAGAGACACGGGGTAAAAAGCCACCCCTTCTCCTTTTGCTGGCTCCATCCCTACACCCGCCGTATCTTATAGTGATAACCCCTGGTCCAGCATCCTGTTCAACGCGGTACGGCGCCCCACACATCCCATCTGGCTCGAGCATCCTCTTCCAGGCCCGGTCGGTCCCACCCCGTCCCCCACCTCCGAGCCAAAGTGGCTTCCGCTCACCATTTGACTTGCGTCCCTCCCATGGTCCCCTGTCGGCTTGGCTTCAGCAAGCCTGCTTGCCGGGGTGCGGTGGGAGGCTGAGAGTCACATCGCTCCCGATTTCGGGCAGGTCTCCCCGCGCGGGGACCCGAAGCACGAACCCCGGAGGGAGGCTCGCCCGGATTGCCGGAGAAAGTGGGCCGGGCGGAGGCAGGCGTCTCGGGCCCCGAGCCGGGGGCGCTCCCGGGTGCGGGGCGCGCTGTCCCGGCAGCTCAGACTCTGCGGCAGCCCGGCCTGGGCGGAAGCCGCCTCCCCGCGCGGGCGGCGGGTCCCCGGCAGCTGCATGGCGAGCTCGGCGGCCGCGTGGCCCCGGGTGTCCCCCGGAGCGTGGGCATCTCAGCCCATCTCCGCCTAGAGGCTGCTAGTCCCGGCCGGCAGGGTGTGCGGGGACCCTCTCCGCGCCGCCTCGCGCTCCCGCCCCTCCCAGGCTGAGCTGTCACCGCGGGGGGCAGAGGTAGGGGCGGGGCGGGGTGCCTGGCAGCCCCGGGGCGGGCGGGTGGGGTGGCGGGTGCGGTACCCGCGCTGGGAGCGTGGCCGCCCCGCTCCGACCCCGCCCTCGGTGGACCCGGGTCCCGCAGATCTGAGCCGCGCGCAGCTTAGCCCGGATCCCGCGGGAGGGGGCGGCCGGCGGGGTGGAGACCCGCGGGTACCGCTGCTTCCCACCTTGCCCTGCCCCGGCACCGTGCTGGGCTGTTACTGGGGGCTGGGCAGAGGTCCGCGGAGCAACAGGCAGCACAGTCTCGCCGAGCCACCCTGGAGCAGCAGGGGAGGGGACGGAGACGCCAGGGGCGATCGGCCCACTCCCCACCCACTGCAACAACTGCCCGGATCTCCGGGTCACTTCTGGGGTCGTGGGGACCCCGAGGTGGGGGTGTCGAAGAGGCAGGGCTGGGGGCGACCGAGCTTGTTGAGTCCCCGGGGAGCTGACAGAGCCCTGTCCTTCCCTTCCTCAGGTTCACTGAAGAAAAGCAGGGTGCTGACCGAGCATCCCAGAAAGCTGAAGGAGGGGCTGGTGTTTGAGGAAAAGCAGAAGAGGAGAGGAAAACGGAATGGTGAATGCAAGCTGCGCTCCTCTATCTCTTCTAGAGAACAGTTACCCTTAGCCTGCGGCACCCCGATCTCCGGTGGGTCCCAGTTCCGTCTCAGCCCTGCCTGAGGCTTCCCACCAGCAGAAGGAAGCCGGTGGGGATCCTCAGAAGGAGACCCACAGACCGCCTTTTCTCTCGGCTCTGTAACTCAGGCAGGCACTGTGAGGCTCAAGAGAAAGCAAGGCCTGTAGGCAGGTAGGGAGCAGGAGATCTCATTACAGAAGGAAGCGCTTTGATGGTTCAAACAGCAAGAAACGAAGCATGGGCTTAAATTCCCCTCAAGAGCTCACCAAGTGCTTAATGGGTATGGGTTTCCTTTGGGGAGGCCAAAGACGTCCTCTAAGTGGTCAGCAGTAATGGTCACACATCCTTATGAAGGCATTCACTGACAATGAATTACACACTTCTAAATATTTAATGGTTAATTTTATATTATATGGGTTTTTACAAATAAAATGGCCCAACTATCAAACATAAAATTTTAAAATTGAACAAGGTTACCAGTATATTAAAATGTTGCAAAGAATACCACACTAAAGTAGGAAATGGTCCATCAAAATGAAAGGAATTTTATGAGGAAAAGAAATAGGTGGAAGACGGCCTGGGGATGTACAGTGGTATAGTCCTTGCCTGGCCTGCAAGTCCCCAGCTCTGTAAATTAAGTAATTTTTAAAAAGAAAAGGAGGAAGAAAATAAAAATATAAATACCCATGAGAGTTAATTAGGCTTAAACAGAACAGACTAACTCGGGTTGTCGTAGGAAAGAAAAGGTCATCAGATTATAAATTAAGTATGATTCCACAATAAAATCAAGTTAGTCAATACGCTAATGTGATTTAGGGATGTGTTTATGGGAGCATGATGTATTTTAGCCAGGAAAATAATCTTTTTCTGCCACTATAGCTGGGCATTGGTCAGGCTTCGAGTAGCACACAGTGTCCTGTTCTGCTTTCTGCACTTGGCTGTAAGACAAACAGCCTCGGCTAAGGTCACAGCTGCCGCATAGTAACCTCCCGCAATCTCCAGCCCTACAAATGTACACTGGGAACACTAATGCTTCAGTCAAACCTGCTTGGTGTTTTCTGCTATGAGCTTCATACACCTTTCTTGGGCCACAGCTTAAAAGAGTTGTGCTCAGGCTCCAAGTTTCACGCAGCACAAGGATACTCACTGGCTATCAGCAACTCCCGCAGCTGTATCAGGGCTGGGCTCTAACAGGTCCAAGTCATGCCCCCATGTGGTCACACTGGGGATCTGCGGTTTTCACACAGACAAAATTCACCAACACCCTACCCCACCTTTCTCACACAAAGCCATGGGCACTGTTAAGGGCATCTTTTTCAAACTAAACATAAAATGGATTAGGTGACTTACTTCTTGTTATGCTGCTAGTTGGAGCTGAGAACCCCAAGACCCCGAGAACCTCAGCTCTCAGACAGGATTCTAGTGGTAAAGAATCTGAGGCCGCGATTACCTGGAGCAGGTGGACTCACACGGGGACTGCTGCGGGGACCTTTGCTGCCCTTCGTATTGCTGCACCAACGCCCGCACGCTCCAGTACGGATTCTCAATCTCCTCGTCCATGCTGCTGTTCCTACAGCCAGGGGCACCAGCAAAGCAGAGGGTGTCAGTTCTGCAGTTTAGACAACTGTACTGCTACTGATGAGCTACTGATTTTATACATGTTATAGGGAAGAAAGAAGGCAAAACCTGCCTCAGAGGCACTTGCAACTTGGTACAGAAGGAAGACACCAAAACAAGTCCCTTTGCTCATCCCTGCAGCACCGTGGGCTGACACTGTTCCTCAGCAGAAACGCAACCCCAAAGCACTTTTTGCCCTGACTCTCTGAACAGCTTGGCCTTCTGGATTTCTGGGTAGGGGATCCCCCAGAAGCACTTTGCTAAAGATATGTATTTAAAATTTGAGCCAGGCATGGTGGGGTACATCCGTAATCCGAGCACTCTGGAGGCTGAGGCAAGAGGATCACTGCAAGTTCGAGGCTTACCCGAGCTAGTGAGTTTAAGGCCAGCCTGAACTATATAGTGACACTGTCTCAAACGTACACACACACACACACACACACACACACACACACACACTGGGGCACCAAAACCATAGCTTTCACTTATAGTTCCTGTACATTCTGCTAACTGTAGAACAAGCCCTCCCCAACCTCCATTCCATGCTCTTTCCTGCAACATGAGGTTTGGGTGCTATTTCTATCTACTGCACAGTATCAGAAAATACTAGAGAGAGAGAGAGAGATCAGTTCCCACGCCCAGATTTTTTTACCCTCACCTCTGTCTGTATCGGAAAATATCCCGTCCTGACCGTGACATGTCATGGCACACGTCAGCCAGAGCAGCGGCTGCGCCCTGAGCCACTGCAGTGGCACAGTGAGGTTGGTGGCTCTGTGGTGGGGCTCTGGAGTCCCGCCCTTGGCTCACTGTCCTGCTAGAGCCGGGCTTGAAATGAGCGGCCAAGGCGAGGACCAGCCTCATGATAGACTTGAGGTTTCCTTCCACAATATCTGAAGGAGAGAGAACAACAGGTCCTGAGCGGACAGCGAGGCTGAGGGCACGGGCACTAGGTGCATTGCCAGGGTAACAGGCAGGCAAGGCGGGTAGAAGATTTTTTAAAAGCAAGTATAATGAAGTACAACACTGTTTGGAAAAGAGAACTACAAGGCTCTTGCCGAGCTCAGAACAGGGGCATCTTATAGGGACCGGGGATATATTCCTAAAGGCAGTGAGTTTTCAACTAATACTAGATGGATGAATACATAGGTATGAAAGTCTAGATAGGAAAGCTTGATGTACGAGAGCTACACCGTCCCATAGGAGAGCCACGAGCAACATGTGGCTACGGAGCGCTTGAAGTGTCACTATTCTGCACTGAACTGTGCTATACAGTACTTAACACTCATACACAAATGCAAAATATCTTATTAGCGTAGAATGCAGAATAGTCCATAGCTTTATATTGCTATCATGCTGAAGTATTATTTTGTATATGCTGAGTTAGAACACTATTAAAATTAATTTCATCTGTTTCTTTTCTTTTAAAATGTATTTAGTACAGGGTCTCACTACACAGATGGGACTCGTAGTGATCCTCCTGTTTTCAGCCTCCCAAGTGCTGGGATTACAGGCATGCGCCACCATGTCCAGTCTTAGTCACCTTCTGAGCGCGCCCTGGGAGTGGGGCTGGCACGGCATGCTGGGTATCAAATGCTGGTTGCTGCACTTGCCTAAGCAGCCGCTTTAATCCGCTGAGTTATCTGGCTGGCCCTTATCTGTTTCTTTTCTGTAATGTGGCTATGAGAAACTTTTAAGTCCCCTATGTTACGCATATTATATGTCTGTCATGGAGGAACTAAAAGAACATTGGCACAACCAGAGTGCCAGGCCCGGGGGAGGAAGGAAAGATGAGGCTGCCAGGGCAGGACTCCAAGGTGAGCCGTGGGAGACAGGGGAGCTGTAGGGACAGCTTAGATTCTGCCCCGTGAGCCTTCAGATGCAGGAGGAGCACAAGTTCTCGTACTCCTGCATCATTCTGGCTGCAGTGTGGAAGGCAAAGAGGAGGGACAAAAGCCATGCAGTAGGACTAATTAGGAAGCTTGCATTTCTCCAGGTAAAAGAAAACGATGTCCTGAATGCCTCTGTTCCCTCAAAATAGCTGACTTTACTGGGCCAGATCCCCAAGCCCACTCCACATGGGGACCAGAACAAAGATGTATGTCTGGCATCCTAAATCCTGCCCTAGAAAAAAAAGAAGAAAGCAGACCAAAAAAACAATGTGATAGATCTGGTGAACATAAATGAAAGGAGGTGGGTAAAATTCTTTGTGTAGCTTCAAAATCTCTCAAATATGCAAAGCCTGGAAAAGAGTTCTTTTCCAGATGTTCTCTATGTCAGTATTTGCTTACCCGAATGACCCAGCACATGAAGCACCACTAATCCCACATGAAAGGAGAGCTCTTTCTGCTCTCATTTGCATCAGATCCACATGCAGTAAGACCCAGAATCTGAAGCTAGAAGCAGACTTAGGCATTTCTAGAGAAGAAGCTAGGGGACCAGGGAGCCTAGGCTTTCTCGGGATACCTACACTGCTTCCACCTTGCAGCCTGGCAAATCTGCCTGGGTCACGCCACCGCTGAAGACCAGATACACAGCCCATACTATCCCAGTATCAAAAAAGAAAGGCTATACAATTTTCCTTCTAGAAAACTGGACAGAAACGGCATAGGTTGTGACAATTTGAAATAATACTTGGCCATGAAACTCAAGGAACTTGAAGAAATGTGATCTATCTTCATTTTTGATAACTTAAACGAAACAGTCTAAAATTAATATCCCAGTTTTGTCATTTCTTCTCTTATCATTAATTTTCCCCATGCACATTCAAGTACATCTGTATTCAATTAAACTGCATAGAGAATGTCTATCTCCATCTGGATTTCCAAAGCACTCAGATTTTGATAATCACTCCAACTGGACAACTTGGGGGAAATGATACAAGGTCACGGGGCTGAGCCTGCTGCAGTCTGCTCAGAGCTCTTGGCTACACACCCAGCTGCATTTCCAAGGCTGGTAAAGGTGGGGGAGGCTGAACACATTCATCTGCCAAGGATGCGAGGGGCGCTGCGCTGACCTTTAGCTGAAGTCTGGTGCATGCGAATCTTTTTGGAGGCCACAAACTGTAGCACCTTCTCCACGTTATTTTTCATCTCTTGTTGGTTGCTAGGACTCATCTGTACCCCACTCAGCTTTTCTCCTGCTGTTAAAAGACAGAGAATGTATTACAGGGAGGAATATTTTCCACATTTCATAGCAGCCAAACACACAGGAAGAGGTTTTGATATGAAGCCTAAAATTATCACCTAAATGTATAAGTGAGATAAGTCCTGGCATGTGTAATCTGAAGGGGGAAGAGGAAGATGAAAAGCCTTTTGGAGAGTGTTTCTATGAACTCAGGGTCCTGTGAGGTTATGGTGTGTGCACTTATCTATTCAGCAAACATTCTGTCATGTGTCAGGCCCTTCTGTGGGCACCAGGGGACAGTGGCCATGTAAACAAGGTCCCTTCCCTCATGGGGTTTACATCTATGAACAGCAGAAAACAACCAACACAACAAGGTAATGCTCCATGTACCTTCAGGTAAGCACTGTGAGGAGAAATAAAAAGGAGTGATCAGGCCTCTCTGATAATATATATTTGTACAGAGACTGCATAAAACAGGAAATGTTAAGAAAAGGAATCATTCCAGCTTGGGGAACCACAATATAGACCAAGAGCTGGGCATGGGCTCCGTGCACACGGGAAGAGATACAGGAGCAGCGGCAGCATAGCCCGTGTGAGTGTGCAAGGAGCAAGTGCAAGCAGAGGCCAGAGAGGCGGGCCGTCCAGGCAGCTGGTGTGGGTCATAGCGAAGTACCTGAATTCTAAGGGGAATAAGAAGCCAACAGAGTTTCAGCAAAGGAGTAGCATTCTCCAATTTGCTTCTCAAAGTTGACTCTGTGGATGTAGATAATAGCAGGGAAGAAAGAGAGATTAGTCAGGACAATAATGAAAATAGTCAAGGGATAATGATGGTTTGGGTTCAAGTGGAAGACGATGACAGGTGAGAAGTCAGATGTTGATTATATTCTCAATATAAGCCACACTGTAGGTGAAGAATTAGAAAGGATACACAAGGAAGAACAGCTTCTAAGGGTTGAGGAGATAGCTTGGTAGAGAGTACTTGCCTAGTGTGGTGGGACATGTCTATAATCCCAGCACGAGGGAGACTGAGGCAGGAGGACTGCCACAAGTATGAGGTCAGCCTGGACTCCTGAGTTAACTCAAAGCCTGAACTACACAGTGAGATCCTGTCTCAAAAAAAAAAAAAGAAAGAAAATACTCACCTCATATTTCTGAGGCTCTAGGTTCAAGCCCTAATACTAGGGGGAAAATGACTTCTGAGTGTTCTGCTTTAGCAACTGGGTGGATGATAATGTGAAATGTTCCTCAGATGAAGGAACCTGGAGGATAAAGGCATTAATGTGGGGAAGGAAATCACAAGTTCTGATGAGGGCATGTGAAATTAGTGCTGCATGTTAGATACCTGAGTAGAGATTTTGACTAGGAAAGTAGATACGTCTAGAACTCAAGGAAAAGTTAAGGGCTAAACATACAGATTTGGATAGAGACATTGAAGTTACTTTTAGAGTGCAAAGTCATAATTTAAAATAGTGTTTCAGGTCTGGGTATGTGGCTCGATGGTAGAGCACTTGTGTAGTATACACCAGGCCCTGGGTTCAGCACCTTAAAGGGCAGATTGGCTTCTAAGTTTTGGGGAGGTAGCTTGAGAAAGAAAGAACACTGGAGGTGGGAGAGAGAGAAGAGAGGAGGGAGAGAGAGAGAGAGAAAGAGAGAAAGACAGAGAGACAGAGAGAGAGACAGAGAGACAGAGACAGAGAGACAGAGAAAGAGAAGAGAAAGAGAAGAGAAGAGAAGAGAAGAGAAGAGAAGAGAAGAGAAGAGAAGAGAAGAGAAGAGAGGGGAGAGAGGGGAGAGAACAGAGAACACAGAGACAGGGAGAGAACACAGAGATAGAGAGAAAGAGGAAGAGAAAAGAGAAGGGTTTAAAAATCTGGGTTTTGAAAAAACAAGAAGACAGATTCGGATCATTTCTAGATGGTCATCTCCCAGCATGACTGGGAAGACCTGCCCAGGCTAGCTGCCTCCAAAGAAGAGAAGGAGCAGCGAGTGAGATACAGGTAAAAAGGGGGCTTTTAGCTTCGTATCCTTTAGGATTTCCCACCAGAAATTTTTTTTAAAAAATAGGCTCCACATATAACTTATTTAAATAGATGAAAAATTAAGTGCTTAAAATGGACTTTGGAATTAACCCCAGTCTAGGTTGATGTTTCCACTTTAGCCTTTACAGTTACGCAACTCTGTAGAGTTGCTTAGCCTCTCTAGACTTCATAACATGAGCAAAATAGTCGTGCAGGTTGGGCATTACTAGCCTAAAGATTTCAGATTTTCAGGTTAGTAACGCTCTATTCAAATATTCTAAACTCCAAAATCTGACACATTTCTAGCCACAAACATTTGACACCCACATCAAAAATAAATCCAAACAGTGTGCTTAACTTCTTTGCTTCACACTATGTATTACTATTTACTCAACAAATTTATTTGTGTAAATCCTCTTTTAAACTTATTTCCTGAAAGTGGGGACAACGGCATCTATTTGCTAAGGATGTGACAATTAAACGAAATTAAACAAGATAGAAAGTGTCCGACGCTGGCATTCCTGCGGACACCTTCATCATCACTACAAACAGATGCTCTGATGAACTCAGCCTCTGTCCCTACAAAGGGACTCAGGGATGGGCTGCCTGATGCAAAGCTGGCTCCCTCTGCACTCCCTGCCACCCCCACAGCCCTCAAGGAGCCCAAAGCAGAGCCAGATGACTAACAAAGGTTTCAGTACCTGTAAGGTGCCCCTAGTTAGGAATTGTGGAAACAAACAAACAAATTGCACTATGCACGCTCTTAAAGAACTCTGTCTCTGTAGAAGACAGGTAAGTACACAAGTCATTATGACTACCATTCAGTGAGAAAAAGAATTACAGCACTATGGACAAACATTAAGGAAATAAGGTATGATGCCCTTTAGTAAGAATGACACCAGGGCTTCACAAGAGAAAAATCCTTTCATAAAACAAACAGCAGGATCCTAGAGGGGTCTTTTTGCTGATCACAGACATAGAGGGGTCCTTTTGTGCCTGGCTGCTGCTTCCTTTTCTAGTCTTGGTTGAGACAGCAGGTCTCCTGGTGGGACTCTGTGAAAGCACTACTTTTGGCAGGCTTCAGCTTAGACACCAATGCTTCTGGTCTACCCTCCTGCAACCCGAAGTCTCTATAGTGTCCCTCCCATGTACTCCTCTCTGAATCAGTCCTATTAGAGTACTAAGTATGCAAAAGAACTGACTTTTCTTTCTAGTCTTTCCACTTAGATTGACTCTTGAGAACACAAACTGTGCTTATCATATTCTTAAACATAATATAATACCTGCCACACAGTGTTTAGTGAGAAATAAACAGATGGATGCTGAGCAAAATCTGGTTTTATTTTGTAGCGCAGGAGATTGAACCCAAGGCCCTCACACTGAGCTAAATCCCAGCTTCCTTATTATTTCTTATTTTGAGACAGGATCTCACTAAATCACTCAGTTGCTCAGGTTAAGATTGAACTTGCAGTCCTCTTGCCTCAGCCTCCCAGAGTCCTGGGATTACAGGTATATGCCACCTTGCCCAACTTGATCAAGTATTTTAAGTCTTTTCTATTTCCATTGCCATATAGGCTGAAAGAGAAATACCCTGCTTTGAAGGGCATATAGATGATAAACGTGGTCATATTCTGGTCTACAGTAGCATCAGAGTCCAGGACCAACTGACCAACAATCTCAATGAGATATGCCAGGATCACCCCATCCCGGAGATCCTGTCGCAGGTCTTGCACAGGCTTCACCGATGGCCTCTTCTTCAGCTGTGCATTCACCCAGGCTACATAGGCCTGCAGCTGTTGCTGGAAAATAAAAGGTGGAAATCAGGTAAGTTGGCGCATTACTTTATTCCTTATCCTACAGCTCTAAGGCAGCATGAGAGATTGGAGTATGAAGGCGATCTTCATCCAGAAAGAGAAGGAAGAGGTTTTAAGGAAAGAATTAAAAAATGGCATCAGGGTCAGACTCAGAGAATGTCCTAAAATTCTTAGTTTTGTACTAGTCTCTAGGGATAACATAACCTCTGACTTGAGTGACACTATGGACAGAGATAAGGAGGTACTTCAATGACTGTGACTTCGGCTTCTCTTGAGTTTTGCACTACCGACAGGGATGGCAGGCAGCCCCAGGACCCAGGCCAGTTCTTAGATGTAATCAGTATTGCTAGCAACTCACCAGGCTTTTCAGTAACAATCTCTCACGCACTGTACGTACAACAGACTGTGACACTCATACAAATGATCTTGCCGAGCCGGAGATAAACAATAACCCACACTCAGAGCTCCCGCCTGGCTGCTTTCTTCACAATGAGATTTATATGAAACCATCTCACAGTTAACCCAAGATTTACTCTCCTAACCCCATAATCCTAGGATTGCTAGGGAGTTAGTTTTAATCCTTGCTTTATGTTGTCAAAGATCTGGTTCCCTAAAGCTGACACAAAAGGGTAGTTACTGCAGACTGAGTGGTACCTTCAGTTGCTTCAAAGTTAGAATCCTGTTTCATTAGAAAAACATCAGGCGGGCTGGTGAGATGGCTCAGTGGTCTAAAGCACCTACTTAGAACAAGCTTAGCCAAAGCACAGGGACCGCGGTTCAACCCCCAGCACCACATGCCAGCCAGCCCCGCCCCCTGGTGGGCTGGGCTGGCCACACACACACACACACACACACACACACAAATAAATAAAATAAATAAATTTGGGAAAAAAATTAAAAAAAAAAACACATCAGGCATTTAGGCAGAGACGCTAGAATGTTCTAGATGCTAGAACTCATCCCAACACTGGAACAACCATACACATCCCACGTAGTCCACTGAACAAGACTGGTCAGAAGATGGACACTAATTTCTAAGTAGCACATGAACAATGTCCTAATCCAGACAACAACTGTGCACGGTTTCTATAGCAGCCCAAGACCCTGAACCTAACAATTAAATTCAAGGACTAATTGTATTAGATTATAATTTGGTTGAAGTACAGTTGATTTTTAAATCCTAAGTACTTTCTTAATGAAATGATGTAGAATTATTTCCTGGTAAATTACCCAGTGGCTACTTTCTGAGTTTAAATTAAATCTTCATTTGTTTCATTCTGTCGATTTTTGGGAATAAATAGAGTTCTTTTGTGCTACTGACAAAATGTAGGAAATGCAAGGGGGGAGGGGCTTAGTGCTACTAAGTACCCACCATGAACTAGACACTATGTTTGGTGTTCTCTATGCATTTATTGAATAAATGAATATACGTGTCACAGGACCTGATGCCTAAGTGATGTTTATCAAATAGTCAGGGCTACTGTCATCACCATTATCATTCAATTAAATTTTCAACAAAAGCATTTGTCAGTAAGTTTGAGCTCCACTTTATGGCTGAAGTTTGGAGAGGTTATGTGGCTTCTCCAGTGTTCCTGTAGCGAGAACACCGCAGGTGTGTTAGCAAAACCCAGAAAGTGTTGTCCAGGCATTTACCAAGGGCGTCTTGCTGTCCAGCTCACTGCTAGAACAGTGAGGCTGTGCCTTCTGCCTGACATTGGTGTCTCACCTTACTCTTCTGTCATTGCTGGGACAAATACCTGACACTCAAAATGAAGGAAGGAAAGGTTTATTTAGCTCACAGTTAGTGGAAGTTTCAGTCCATATTCAGCTGGCTCCAAGGTAGAGCGGCACATGGCAGAGGGCAACCTTTCATGGCAGTGGCCAAGAGCAAGAACAAAATGGAGAAGTAGCTGCGACAAGGGCACCAGAGAGCAAGTCTGTCTCCCTTATGTTGCATTCAGGCTATCTGCCCCAGGATAGGTGCAGTACTTAAACCCATAATCCTCAGCAGCACTCATACCCATAATCCCAGCACTATTTATACCCATAATCCTTAGCAGCACTCATACCCATAACCCCAGTGGATCATGAGTTAATCACAAACTCTAGTAGTCCGCCCCATGACTGCATAAGGCTTTGGGGGGAGAACTAGACACAAACCACAACAATAGGCCAGACACCCACTGTTAAGGGCATGCTGAGCTGTGTAAAGCTCCAAGTTCTGTGCTCACCTCACAGCCAAAGCACTGCCTGAAGCAGACCAGGCAAAGGGTGCTCTGGAGTGAGCCACTCCTGTCCGAGGAAAAGGAGGTAAGACCAGAAAAGGCATTAAAAGTAACAGCTCTGCCTATCATCCCGACACTGTTGGAGGCTGAGGCCAGAGGCCTGCAAGTTGGAAGCCCAGCCTGGTTAACGTAGCAATTTAGTGAGATTCTGTCTCAAAACAAAAAACCAAAAAGGGCTGGGGATGTAGCTCAGTGTGAAGATTCTAAGTTTAACCCCCACTACCACATGCAAAATGAATAAATAAATAAAATATCAGGGAAGGTGAAAGTTTAGATTTAAGATGTTTATTATAGCTTTTTTGCAACGGGTTTGCCGCGAGAGCACGGGCATGGTGAAAGCCACCACTAAATCCAAGCCGACATGGGAAAGGAAACGACTCACATTAATATCGTTGTCATCAGACACATGGACTCGGACAAGTCCATCACCAGTTATCTGATCTACAAATGCGGTGGCATCGACAAAAGAACCATTGAAAAATTTGAGAAGGAGGCTGCTGAGATGGGGAAGGGTTCCTTCAAGTATGCCTTGGTGTTGGACAAGCTGAAAGCCGAGCCTGAGCGTGGCATCACTAGTGACATCTCCCTGTGGAAATTTGAGATCAGCACTTATTATGTGACCATCATCGATGCCCCTGGACACAGAGACTTCATCAAAAACATGATTTTTTAAAAATGTTTCCTCTATTCATTTTTTTCTGTTTTATGGTCAGCTCAGCCCACCCTGGGGGCGGGGCTGGCATGGTATGTGGTGCTGGGGATCGAACCAAGGTCCCTGCATGCTTGCCTAAGCTTGCCTAAGTAGGCACTTTAGACCACTGAGCTATCTCACCAGCCTCCTCAAAAACATGATTATAGGCACGTCTCAGGCTGACTGTGCTGTCCTGATTGTTGCTGCTGGTGTTGGTGAATTTGAAGCTGGTACCTCAAAGAATGGGCAGACCCATGAGCAGGCCCTTCTAGCTTACACACTGGGTGTGAAACAAGTAATTGTTGGAGTTAACAAAATGGATTGCACGGAGCCACTCTACAGCCACAAGAGATATGGGGAAATTGTTAAGGAAGTCAGCACCTACATTAAGAAAATCAGCTACAACCCTGACACCGTAGCTTTTGTGCCAATTTGATCACTCCCAAGGATGGCAATGCCAGTGGAACCAACTGCTTGAAGCTTTGGATTGCATCCTCCCACCCACTCGCTCCACTGACAAGCCTTTGCAGCTGCCCCTCCAGGATGTCTACAAAATTGGTGGTATTAGCACTGTCCCTGTGGGCTGAGTGAAGACTGGTGTTCTCAAATTTGGCATGGTGGTCACCTTCACTCTAGTCAATGTCACGACTGAAGTCAAGTCTGTTGAAATGCACCATGAAACTTTAAGTGAAGCTCTTCCTGGGGACAATGTGGTCTTCAACATCAAGAAGGTGTCTGTCAAAGATGTCTGGTGTGGCAATGTGGCCTATGACAGCAAAAATGACCCACCAATGGAAGCAGCTGGTTTCATTGCTAATGTGATTATCCTGAACCATCCCGGCCAGATCAGTGCTGGCTATGCCCCCGTCCTGGATTGTCACACAGCTCACATTGCTTGCAAGTTTGCTGAGCTGAAAGAAAAGATTGATCACTGGTCTGGTAAGAAGCTGGAAGATGGGCCCAAGTTTTTGAAATCTGGTGATGCTGCCATTGTTGACATGGTTCCAGGCAAGCCCACATGTGTCCAGAGCTTCTCTGACTACCCACCTCTGGGTCATTTCGCTGTTCACAATGTGAGACAGACAGTTGCTGTGGGTGTCATCAAAGCTGTGGACAAGAAGGCTGCTGGAGCTGGCAAGGTCACCAAGTCTGCCCAGAAAGCTCAGAAGGCTAAATGAATATTATCCCTGACACCTGACACCCCCGTCTTAACTAGTGGTGGAAGACCAGTCTCAGGACTGTTTCTCCCAATTGGCCATTTAAGTTTAACAGTGAAAGCCTGGTTAATGATAACAATGCATTGTAAAACCTTCAGGAGGAAAGGAGAATGTTTTGTGGACCATTGTGTGTGTGTGTGTGTGTGTGTGTGTGTGGCAGTTTTTAAGTTATTAGTTTTTAAAATCAATACTTTTTAATGGAAACAACTTAATCAAAAATCTGTCACAGAATTTTGAGACCTATTTAAAACAAAGTTTAATGAGAAAAAAAGATGTTTATTATATCAGACACATGACTATTACCCACCTCCATATTCCCCTTGCCTTTGACAGGCTCTCACGACATGTCATCCATGCTGGCCTTGAACTCACTATGTAGGCCAGGCGGGCCTCCAGCTCAGGGTGATCCTCCTGTCTCAGCCTCCTGAGTTCTGGGATTATAGGTACGTAGCATCACACCTTGCGCTTGCTACTTTCCGAAACAGTTCTGGAAGTCCTTCTGTGACTATCTTTAGTTGTGCTGTTGTGGCTACATCAGTGCCCTCAATCAGTACAAAATATTTACCTTGCACAATTATTTTGACCTGGGGAAGAGCCAGAAGTCAGCCTTCCTTTCCCTTTGGAGGCAC